ACATACACGTCGTCTGCTAACACTGACTCAGGACATTCAGATAGTGGATGGGCATTTTCGGTCACACGGCACATATAACAGTAGGATTCACCTCAACACCACCATGACCAACCCAAATCCTACGCACAAAAATAACTTCCTCCTCCTCCTCACGGCCGCCGCCGCCGCCGCCGCCGCCGCCGCCGCCGCCGCCGCCGCCGCCGCCGCCAACAACAACAACAACAACTCGAAGTGTGTAAATCACCGTCATTATAACCCTGTCTGTCCGCATGCCCGCCGGCTCCATAATAGTGGCGCCAGTAAGCGGCGGCTGCGTGTCACCTTTGCCAGACAGCCACGCCATGGCAGGTCAGACACGCCGACCCGTCAGTCCGGGGACATCAGCAAGGGACAGCCAATCACCCGAAAGCACGCGTCTGAGGACCAATCAGTGCACGCCTCTGGCTTGCCTCAGTCCGCATCGCGGGGGACAATAGTTCGTTTATCGAGGTGACGAGGACTAAAACTGCCCTTCGGAGGAGCAGTGGTGGCTCCCGCCTGAGGTTGTTTGCAGCGTGGTAGACTTGCCCATCAACTGCCCTAATCTCACCCAACACCAAACATGTTCTAATGAGAAGATGCAAATCAGAAGACTGAGGTCGATTGCAAGCGTTGTGACTGAAATGCTAGTGATCACATACAAAACACGTGATAGCCTACGTGTGCATGCATATGCTCCCGCGCCCTGTTTGCTCATGCAGCAGACTCATGTTGCACGTGGTCCGATTAGGAACGGTTACAGTAACCAGCACAGTAGCCGTCACAGGGTTATGACAGTGTACTTTCGATCTCAGGATGAAATATACAGTATCACTGATGCAATCAAGCTTCTCGACTTCGTCTTGTGGCAGCTCGCCCTTGTCGGGGACTACGTCAGAGAGAGAGGAGTCAGTGTAGGGTTTTGTTGAACGGCTGTGATCACTAGGACGTTAGCCAACATATGCACGCGAGCCGAAGGTCGTTAGGGCTGACGTATGTGGACGTCTAAACAGGACATGAGAGCAAAAATCGCGTACAATACGGCCGGTCTTGAGCCAACCTTAGGTTAAATTAAGGCCAGGTTTGAGGTTAGAGTTAGATTAGGGATTAGGTTTAAGGCTAGCTTTAAAGTTAACGGCCAGGTGGTCAGGATCACGTTTAGGTTTAAGATAGGGGCTAGCGTCGACTGCAGAGTTAAGATTTAGGGTAGAGCTAGGGTCAAGATAAGGGCAACAGTTTAGTTTTTTATCCGTGTCATTGTTGGGGTTGGGACATGGGAGTAAGTTGCCCTCTCTAGAATTATTCGCAGGTCCACCTTCATTACTTGGGTGGGTCGTTCCTATTCCCATTTCCTACTTAGACGTCCACATAAGGCCGTCCCGCCCCATTCCGATTAACGGCAGGCCGTACATAGCCCAGAATGCGCTAGGGTAAGTTCAAGTGCTGAAACACACTGCCACTAAAGAACGAATTCCCTACGCAGTCTTTATGATGGACTTTTCTATATCAGTCTCATTGACCTGAAGAGAGACTGACGTAGCCTACTAGGAATCTGGGTAAGTGGAAACAATCCCAAATGCCTAACTAACGGTCTCGCCCGATATCTGCCAGTAACAGTTGAAAGGATGAACTCGCAGACCCTTTCTCAGCTTCCACAGCTTTCAGATGGGTTTTAGTTCTAAAGTAGAAGAGCTATGTCAGCGTTGTACGTTCATGCCATAAAATAATGTCAAACGCCATTTGTGGGCAGCTAAACACCTATTTTGTGTCAATGGAATGGAAGGCAGTCAACTTGCAGACACCGAATACGAAGTATCTCGTAGTTTTCCTCTCTAATACATTTTGAGCACGCATTCTAGGGCGAAGTATTCGTGTTTTTCTCAGTATGTGCATCGGGTCTTTTAGGACGCTGGGACGAAATCTTTCTCAGTCATCTATGTCGTTCACATGATCTAAGATATTTTGTTTTCCATTTTCCTTCTGGATTTGACAGCGGTCGGAAATAAGATACTTACCTGACAAACACCAGATACAGCGCGAAATAATAATCAGGATCTGTGTCCGGTTAAGTAAAAGGATTACGTTCTAATTTTTCGCCGCAATCTATGACTGGCTCACATGTAATAATGACTAATTATGTTGCCTCATGTATCCGATTACTTCTCAATGTGGGCTGAAAGAAGACAGTTTTTCTTCGAAATAGGTGTTGCGATAGCCAGCCTTGTCCCGTAAGCTACTCTTAGAACATATGACACAGTCAACCCTTAAACAGCTTTCATGGTTTTTGCATTTTTAAAACTGATTTAACGACTAGCCGCTGTCTTACTCAAGGAGATGGTCCCCATAGTATTCGAATAGCTTCAAGCCAGGAAGTCGAGGGGAGTCGCCAAAAGCCACTCAGAAGCCCATTTTGTTTATGAAATGATATTGTGGGCCATTTGATTACCCGCGCGATGATAATTGAGCATCGTTTCTGCAGGTACGATGGTCCAAAAGGGCGCTGTCACGTGCATTCCTGAGTATACTTTTCACACCCAGGAGTATGAGTTACAACTGAAGTCAGTATGCTTTGAACTCAAATTGATTCGGCAAAAAATTATTGCCAAGAAAAAAGGGGGACATCAAACAGTCACTTCTTCTGACTTATTTATCCTTATCAGTCAATGACATTATGGTTCAGATCAAGCGCCTAAGGTTGGAACACCGGTCATTTGGTCACTGAGCCCTTTAGAGTCAACCGTTCGCCAACATCAATTACGAGCTCAAGTCCTGCCGAGCCACGTGGTCAGGAATATACAAGTTCACCTGGCCGTGGAGCTTAGCAGTCTTTCTAATTGCAGCCTGGTGACGAGCACTGTCTGATTAGAATTTGTATTTTGCGTCTTGCCGACCTCATTACCGTAAGGACAGCCGACGGTGACAAGGAAGCGGCAGATGGACCGGTCTCTTCTTCTGGTTTATTGCTAAATCCCCCTCGAAATGCGACTTCTTTATGCATTAGGTTACATTCTGGAGGCACACTGCTTTTTTTAATACCGCCCCCACGGGTGAGGTAGAATAAGCTTCTCCTTCGTTGTGGATCATTCCGATAGATTAGGTCATGACTTGATGGGGACGATTAGCAACGATACAAAAAGAATTATTATTTGGCCAAACATCACGAAAATTGCCACTGATCGCCAGTGGAGCAGGCATGTGGTGGTCCCAGTCCGAGCGCCTGTCTCAACGCTGGGCCTCAGGCGAGTGTCGGCAACGTGCGCACCAGGGCTGTCTGGCATTCGTCCACTCGGCTTCCCAACCGACCAATCAGATTCAAGGTCGGATCAGACGTGACCTGTCTTAAGACGCTTTGACGCATGCCTTAGTACACGCCTGGGACGCCGCTCAGCGGGCACCAGACGCGTCCTCACCCGACTGCCAACTATCCAGCTATTCTGTCCAGAATATATTATCCTTCCCACTGGTGTCTGCCTTCTCTTTCCATTCGTGACCGGGCCTGAAAGTCGTGGCAGCCAGGGTCTCACTCGCGGCCTGGCCTATCTGCGATATGCACTCGCTGTTGGCAAAGTAAAGCTTAAACATCCGGGCTTTTCAGTTTGCTGTTCTGTGGACGGAAAACAGCATATTTTAAAGGATGAACAGTTTCAAGACCTAATCATCGAAGACTATCGGGAAGAGCCCTTTTTGCCGCTCGCAGAAACTACACTTCGTAAAAATGACTGCTTAAGTAATGTAAACTATCCCCCCCATTGTGGATACCTTCACACATTTAACCATCTTTTACGGAGAATATGCGCAAAATATTATTTTTTGTACTAATTTGGTGGCCAGTTAGAACTTATTTAAATCTAATGGCTGAGGAAACTGAGTATCTTGGTTTTAAAACATTTTAAATCCCCGAATAGTTTTGAACCCGACCTGCCTTTACATTTGCATTCAGGGCTTCCAAACTACAGGCTGCATATTTTTCGTGTAAGGAAAATCATACCTTTCGATATGTTGTAAAGAAGAAACTACATAGGGCTCATAAAATTTTGCGATGAATTTGGGCCATTTTGTATACTTTACAAGCAGTTTTAATAAACGTGCTAGTACGATGCTGTAGGAGTGGACATTTCATGGTCTTAAGGATCTCATAAAAAGAAACTTTTTTAAAACAAAGAGATACCAAATTCTAAGCAAATATTTTGAAGACGTAGTTTCCTATCAAATGAGTGGGAAAATAATAATTTTGGTCATTTTTCTACAAAGTGTGGTCGAATTTATAACGAAATTGAAAATCAATGAGAAAAATGATTACGATTTATGTAGTCATTTTTTGTGGAGTGTAGTTTTTACAGGCGGTCGGAAAGAGGTTTATTCAAGTCTGACTGAAGTATCTCGGGCTTATGCTGCACTATAATTAACATTACAACCTAATTTGGGTAATCTCTTCAAAACAAAAACACGTTTCACAATTTCGGTTAATGGTTCTTGAGATTGCACATGGTCTGGTGTAGGATTTCCGAGCCACTTTTTCGTTTTCAGTTTCTCTAGGCAAAACTGACCACTGAGTGCCGAAGACAAGGTGTCGACAAATTTCTTGACTGTTTACTACATTAGGTTTGACTTTAGTTAACAATGTTACTCAATTTCCTGCAGTCATTTCAGGATTACATGCGACCGAGTTCACTGATAACACCCACGAGTACTGATTTAATTACAATCTTGATATTTTCAAATTTATTACAGAAAAAGGACTGTTCAAGGGTCTGGTTAGTGACAAGTTGTGAATCAGATTGATGTTTTAGGATTGGGAAGGGAAGAAGTCGGTAGGTACAAGGAGGTGTGGGCATCATCTGGCTCACTGTCCAGTTAAAGCAGTATTTTGCAAGTGGGACACTTTACAACGGACGTCGGGATATGTTTGGGGAAGGGGCACACTGGTGGTCATGGGTCGGTTGGGTGCCTCTCTCATGCATAGTCGAATTCAGCTGCTTTCTTGGTCTCTGCAGGGTCTCCGACTTCATAGTTGTTTTCTCCCCTCTCTTCCTCCTCCTGCTCCTCGCCTTCCTCGTCTTCCTCGTCTTCCTCTTTTTCGAAGTCCTTAGCACACATGTGATACGTGAAGGTTGTGCAGTACATGTGCGAGAGGGCTACGTTGCCTGATCGGAGACGATCGCTGAAATGTGTACATTAATGTCAATTAGGGGAAAATCCGGTTATGGCTCATATTCCCATTTAAAACGCTCGGACCAACCCTCTTTCTCTTGTTCATCAATGATTGTGTAGATGGGTTGGACTGTGATGACTGCGGATGACATAAGAAACTAGAAAGTCATCCAGAATGCTGCCGATGAGACTAACTTCCAAGAAAATCTTTGTCGATTGGTCCCGTAGATGGCTCTTGTCCTTTAATTTGAACAAATGTACCATACTGCGCCTCGGAAATCAGACCCCTAGTAGGCGGCAATACCATCTGAACGGAATAGCATTTCGAGATGCAGAAACGCAGAAAGATCTCGGAGTTTGGGTTGCAGACAGCCTAAAGCCTTCTACGCAATGTTGTAAGGCGGCCAAGGCCGCAACTTCAATGCTATGTGCCATCAAGCAGGCATTCTCAGCTTTCGATGAAGACTGCTACTCCAAAGTCTTCGGCACGTTTGTAAGGCCGCATCTCGAATATGCGATTCAGGCCTGGAGACCGTGGACGCATCAGGATTACAATCTGCTCGAAAGGGTGCAGAGGCGAGCGACAAAATTAATAAGAGGTCAAAGTGCACTGCCATATGAGATCCGCTTAAGTAACCTTGATGTCCACCCTCTGAGTTATAGGCAGTTGAGCGGAGACTTGATACAAACTTTCCGTATCCTGCGTGGCTTGGACTGCGCTCTTCGGTGAGATGACTTTTTCCAACTCGCCACAACCACTAACCTCTGGAGACATCGCTTCAAGCTACGTGTGCCCCAGGGTAGATTGAATGTGAGAAAATATTTCTTCTCCAACCGTGTCGTGGAACCGTGGAATAACCTGCCCGAGACGGTTGCCATGTCTCAGTCTGTGGCGACCATGAGACCAGTGACATATGAGAATCAATGTTTGCATTCACTTACTGCTGTACTTTCTTCACATTTTGGCTTATTTATCGATTTTTTTATGTACAAATAGGGAGTTCAAAGGCCTAAGCCTATTTCCCTCAAATACACTGACTGACTGAAAACGCACTGCAACAAGGCAAGATTATAGGACACTTTGAATGCATTCCGTCAAGATGGCTTTCCCTCTTCAACAAACTGACCTTACTCTATAGGGAAAGGACCAGCGAAGGACATTTCACTGTCTGACATTTCACTGAAATCAAGAACCTGCAGCCACCCTATTAAGAATGATTATTTTTTATTAAACGCCTTGTCTGTAAACAAAACCAAACATCGACAGTTGTCGCATACGAGTAGCTTTTCATCAGTCCATTTGCGGGTCTATATCTTGGAGGGTTGGCGCATCTGCAAATCCTTGATCGCATTCCTCTTCTGGATGTGAATGTTATCATCTAAAGAAATCTCAGTTTGGAACACCACTTTTGTAATTAAACGACGTTCACAGGTCCATTTGAACCCACGAGGAAGACAGGAGAGGTATCTGCTGACTGTTTAGGAACATACAACGCAGAATTTGGACATTGAATAATTATTTGGTCAGCCTCACGAGATATAAATAAGTAAACTTTAGTGTTAAGCTGTACTATCAACCGGATCGAAGACAACGCAACAGTTGACGTCAAATGGCACGAAATGCCCACAACGGAACAATCTTTTCAGCTTAAAGTTAAGCCTGGACAAGTGCTGGGAGGGCAGAGAGTAGGATCGCCTCCTTTAAAAATGAAAACTTCATGCCCGTCCGACGTTCGTTGACACTGTCTTTTTGCAACAAATGGATTACCGGTTTTGGGATGGTGCTGGCCGTGCGAACTAATTCTGAAAATGAAGCAACGACCTCCAAAATCTGCAAAAGACGTTTCCTAATTGGACACAGTCGTTGGGGTCAAATATACGGGCAGACTTCGGGTGCCGAGGTCAGACCGGCCTTATTATTTGACAGATACTTTAGCTTACTTGAGCCACTCCACTGCGAAGAGGAGAGATGCATTGGTACTGTCCACACCGATAGAGTTAAGAATGGTGATGACTGCGACAACACTGGCGCTAGGAATGTTCGGCAGTGCGGTGACGTAGGCTGTTGCCAGGATGCTAAAAAGCAGATAGGAAAGCAGTGAGTATTTAAATAGACCGACATACGACTGTGTTTTCTCAGGACAGTTGTTGGAGTGTAAAGGTCAATCACTGTTAAATCTCCATTACCTTCTGTGTTCTTTGTGAATTAAAACTCGTAACGAATAGAGCGTGATAATGTGCTCCAGATGAAAGACTTCACTTCATGAGGTCCTTTCAGTCTCACAGAGGTTGTCGTGGGACCCCCTAGTGAGTTCGCGATCGAGGCAACACGGAGCGCTCTATTCTTTCCAACAGCTGGGCCACCTCGGTAAACACCAGCCTCACATGTCACGCAATATTCTCCACAGCGGTTGGCACAGCGTGAGTCAACGGCTTAACTGGTAAATCCCTAAGCAGGAGATGTCGGCCGTTGTCTACTGACTTCGATGCAGCTGCGGAAGGTGCAACTACGTTGGGGAAACCGGCCGACGGCTGCAAACGCGAATGCACGAGCATAAGTTGGCCGTGCGAAAGTTGGACCCAAAGTCGGAGGTAGCAACTCATGCCGCACAAATGGGATACATCTTCAACTTTGACGCCGTTGAGATTGTGGGCGGGGGCGGTGATCATACAGCAAGTCAAGTGCAAGGAGCCTGGATGTCCACCGATTGCTCTGTCAACCGTCACATCAATTCGCCTCCCCCCTATCTGACTTTACGAACCTTCTTAACGGGGGGACAGTCACGGCGCGGGACAATCGGGGCTGTCAGTCATCTCCGCGGCCGAAGGGGGCGATTCAGGTCACGGGGACATGCGGGGTGGATGCAGCCACACAGGCGGCATTGGCGGGTCATGCATTGAACAAAGTGCGCCATATAAAAGGAGCTGTGCTCAGAACTTCCCAGTCTCTGAAGATGGGTAGACGAATCAACTACTCGAAACGTCGGACCCCCAATAAATCCCTCCCGGTGAATGCTTCCTCCTCCTTTGTTAAATGACTGCATGAACTAGGGTAAATACCAAGGGTCTCGCCTGCCTGACGTTGGGTAATGACTGACCGAGGACGGCTAATAAGCCAGAAGCATTCCCTCGCGTCTCCTCTGTCATTGTCGGCGATACGTCCCGACCCATGAACCCTTTATTGTAGGCCGCCACCTGCACTCGGCGGGCTTAAATGTTTGCTTGTCCGATCTCATACTTAAGTAAGAGGCGATTTCAATCTGGACGTCTGAGCTTGCTGATCGGAAAGTGAGTTCTTTCCGGAAGCTTAAATTTTCGACTTTTAGTTTGGGTGGAAAGATTGTAATGAGCCCGCACTACTCACTCCAGGCTATTTTGCTTCCGTATGGCTCATTGTTTTAGGACAATTGATCTTTGGGTCATGCTGAAGCACATTCACTTGACGCTTTTCTTGTACTTACTTTGAACTCAATTTTGAGCACAGCACTATCAGGCACAAACAATAGACTAAAAATAATCGAAACAAAATGAAAGTATTGACGGAAGTGTCAAGCAGTGGGGCGAAATGCGCAGCCCGCTTATGCCTGTGGTTACGTACATAATTATAACAACTTTGCCAGCATCCAGAGTGATGTCGCTGAGCTGAGCGATGAAAAAGCAGGAACCGACGATAAAGATGGCGGAAGCGTCACTTTTCATGGTGCCTGCGAATGGTAGCACAAAGCGGGAGATGGCCTTCGGTATGCCGTAGGTGTCGCAGGCCACGAAACATTTCGGTAAGGCGACAATTCTGTTGGAAAGAAAACAGCACGGGACGAAGATTAACAGAATGAGTTTCTATCACAACAAGCAAAAATACCGTCAGGAGGGATAGGGTAGAAAAATAGGGGTTGGACGTTAAAATAGTTGATGAATTACATCCCCAGTTTCGAAAAGTCCAGAACTCTCCTTTGGACCGACTGCCAGTACTTACACTTTTACAATGAGATTTGTCTCACGAACAACCGGAAGGGGAAGAACGTGATACAATTAATTGCTACTTATTGAGAAAGTTAACCGCCACCCCACTTTTGATGCAATTACTAATTCGTAGTTAAATACCATTTTTGGTGGACTCATTCCGGCATCAATTCTAGTTCGCATATTGCTCGATTTGAATACTGCAGAAAATAAACCGGCAAACTTCGCTGAACCTGTTACTATGTGCACCACTGGACTTTAGCCACGTTGCTCATAACAGTCAACATTATAATACGGATATGCGAAGTTGGTTGATAAAATATGACCTTTTTCAGGCGTTTGGGATAAAAAGAGATATCCACTGCACTAGCACCAACGCACGTTTGTATTCAGCAGTTTCCTTCGATACACGCACATACGTACAAACCCTGAACAGAACGCCTTCTGTTGAAGCGCAAGTCTGGCCCTCTAAACTGCAGCAAAGCCTGCCTAAAAACGCGATGGCTCGTTTGAAAGTGACACTCATTAGGACACATAGGTAACCGTCAACTGGAGTGTGGACTCACCCACTGGTAGTTGCAAACGCGATGAAGTACGGTGGAAGACACAACTTGAGAATCCTGAACGGATTCACCCGCAGTACGGCAACAGAGAGGAGGAGGAGAAGGAAGTGTGTGAATTGACCAACGAAGTTCAGCAACACAAACCAGCCCAGGCTCGCAAAAGTGCTGGCTATGTTATCCACGCCCGCGATTGAGCTCATGACCATGAAGCAGACGCCAACGGGCGTAACCCTGGAGGAAGTGTATAAGTCAAGGCCGATGAGACGGGCAAACAAGGTAGGAATGCATTAAGTTTATATCATACAGCAGAGTAGAAAGGTAGGGATTCTAAGTTTCGTTCAGTAATCCGGTTCTCTTCCAAGAGAGTAGATCACTTGGGCAGAAGTCTTGCATCCTCCCTCGGATATAAGCTGGGCCTAAACCTTTATCTGAACCGCCCAAATTCCTGAATTGATAGGCGTCACACCGTGAATGACTATATATAGTAGGAAAACCGCCGAGGAACGACGTCTATTTATCTGCCCTCTACATGGAGTGCTGCATGTTCGGGTTAAAATAAGTGGACTCATTTACTTAGCTCTGTTGATTGCTGCTGGCTTTCCCCACTCTGAGATTAATTTCATTGTAACTTACGTATTAAAGCTGTGCAGATTAACTCTAGCATGACGTAGACGTAAAAAGGGCTTAGTGATCATAGGCGTCTTTTGTTTTTAAGTAGGTATTCTATGCAAAGGTTTTCTTTCTAAGCCCAGCATATTTAAAAGTCATGTTGGCTGACAGATCTTAAGCACAAACACCCAAACAAAGGAGCAAATTTTCGAAGATCTGGGCCTGAAGCTATATAATGTCAGATCCTTGTCCAAAGGCACTTTCCTTCACTCAAAAACGTCTACATTCTTTTTCGGTAAGTGTCTTCGAGATCCCCTGGACGTCTTACATATCCCACGTTCTGGTCCCTTTCACTATAATTCACGCATAAAAACCGTATACACTGCCTCTGTGATTACGCGTACAAAGAGAGGCTTTAATGTTCACAATTGTATGGGTGCAAAGATGGATCGACGACTGAATGCGTCTTCTACTTCCATGCAAGGTTCCCCTTTTTTATCCTAGCTGAACGAATATAAGCATTAACCGACAAACAGATGAGCAGCATTTTGAGGACATACTCTTTAAGCCATACACCCTCTAGTTTTTGTTCCTAAGCACTTTCCACAAGCACAAAGTCGGAACTATTTTCCAAATAGGGCCTTTGATATCCCATGGATATTTGAACTGAAAGTTTGGGTTTGTTTTTATAGGCCGTTTGTTAGCAATTTTAATTTCTTCAGCCATTCTGCACCTGGTCTCTAAGACCGGAGGCATATACCGAAATGGACTCTGACTGTTGGGCACCGATAAACTTTATTATATATCCCCATGTGTACTCGCACATTTATGCTTCATTAATTGATGGATTTTGACGTTAAAGGCAAATAATTATGTTTCGACCAATTTTTTGGACATAACTTAAAACTGCTTCCCACAACAACAAAATGACATTGGGTGTTGGTCGCAAAAATGCAGTCTCTGAACAGCGTGGACTTACAGTAAGAACTTCTGCATGAGTAGCATCACGACGTCGCCAAGGGAATTGAAAAATTTCTTGAACGGAATACCCTTTTCCTTTGAGGCGTTTGTGGCAAGGCCGAAGACGAATGAGACGAAGAGCACACCTGCAAAATTCATTCAAGTAATCGCAATCAACCGCAAATCATCCACAAGTCAAACCCGAACATAGTGTGTTAAAACTTACCGATCATATTCGTTCCTTCTAAAGTGACCGACTTGTAAACAGTCTGGTTATTTTCAACTTCTGGCTTTTCAAAGTCTGTGCCGGCCTGCAAAAATAAATGGAAACCGTTTTTTATTCGCAGCTTACCAACACACATAATGTCCGCTCACAGGAAGAGCGGTGCTGATACATGTGCGCAGTACGTCTACCTTATACAATACAGCGCGTATTTCGACAAGTTACTTCTTTGCAATCGCAGTTGCGAAGATCCTGGGTGGAGTTTTCACAAGCAAGCATTCTTACATGAAACCTCTCTGATGCACTTTAGAAACATGGCTCACTGACTGGAAAGAACTTGAATCCTCAGACTGGCTGAACCAAAATGCATCTGTCACATCCACGTACACATAAAGCGATAACTAAACTCAGTTTTGGGAAAGATATATCGTCCAGTTACTAAGAGAAACGGTTTGATACCAATCTGGTCCGGTCTGGCTTGCATCAGAATCCAGGCCTTGGTAGCAAGCGTTTAAACCTACGGTTGCTCTATGCATGGCCTCGTCCTGTTATGTCATTTTTTTACCTAGGAGTTGAGGACTCGAGTTGTCTGAGTCAGATTCTAAGCTCACAATATGAGACACATCTGAACACTCTGTGAAGGCATTGTAACCGCCGGCAACGTTGAGTATGCCATTACACCTGAGGGTATAAGAGAATGCTCCCGGAAATACAGCAAGTTTATGACTGAAAAACGATTGGCCGGGAATTGCAGTGTCTGCACTATGCATTGCTGTTATCCAGTCATATGTCATGTCCGGACGGAGAAAACCTTCCGTTTTTCTTCTCTAAATAGGGCGGGTTAACGCCCGTCGAGTGTTTGCTTGATTACTAGACCGCGTGTCCTACCGGTGGAGAAACGAGTGTATACGCTCTCACGGGATTGACGCTCAGCGATCTGGTCTGTTTGGAGGACGAGACAGTGCATTCCGTGATCCTTAGAGCTCCGATCTACAGTGCCTGAAAAACGTAAGATAGCGAAGTGCAATCAGAGAGAGGCGTTTTCGTCAACCTTGCTTCCTGTCAGATGAGGATGCTACTTTAGGTAGATTGCTGTCTTCTCAGGAGTACTTACATAGAAAAGTCAAATTGTACCAGCATACTTTGCTCAGGATATCTTATTTTTTGAGAGTTCTTCCACTACCCTAAACCTGTCTTACGCATCTCCCCTTGAGTGGTAGAGTGAAGTACCGGTTAGGCAGTTGTACCAGTAACGATACGACCCTTAGGCACAATGTGTTTGGTGGAAGGGGCGCATTCGTTGCTTGCCTTTTCCCAAAATGTTCACATAAGACGAGAAAATAAACAAAGCGCATGCCTTTTTTGCAAGTATCAGGGAGGGCAGCAGGTGTCGAAATGCTTACCTGGAAGAGGGTGACACCAACGATATTGTCGGGGAAAATGTTCCTAAAATTGGTCAAGCGAAAATTTAGTGCGTGCGATGGTGAAGACGAAGGTCAATCTTGGTACATAATCATTTTGCGTGGGATGCTCAAAAAAACCTGACTGCTTAGACAAATAACGCGGTGCTTTTTGTTTCCGGTCATTTTTATGGAGACCACGGAAATACGTGCACATATTTGGTGGTTAATGGCCTTCAGCTCAATTGGCTCTGGGTGGAATTCTTCTAAAAGCTTAGGATACCTCTTCTCTTTTTTCATTGGTGAAAGAAAACAAAGTCGATCCTTTAGCTTGGACAGCCGCCATCGCAAGACGTTTTTGCAGGACGATGCTAACGATTAAATGCTAGATGATATTTGGATTTTCTTTCATGTGCTGCAGTTGCTGTACACACAAATTTGACGAACAAGCATAAAGTTTCCGAGTGCTATTAGTGGCGGAAAAGCGATCTTTCCACACACAATCGTTAATTTTTCTTATAACTGGCTTACTCTTAGCTGATGTCATAAGAGTCCTCCAGACATACCACTATTCTACGTGTAATGAGATAGTGACCGATTCTTACGAAACTACGAGGACGAGAAGGTTCTTTTTATCGATCGCTCTCTGTATACAGCTTTATATTATGTGCTTAGTTTTTCTCAAATTTCTGTACTTTTATTATTTTTAAGACAGCTAAAGTAGAGGTCCGACTGGAAGATAAGCACACTCTCATTATCCGCCTCTCCAACTGTTAGATGCTCTTTTAGCGTTGGCACAGTGTTTTGTAAGTAACAGGAACACTCACAGGAATAGATCTCTAAAAATGTACGAGATTTGATTTCCGTCATCCTTAGTTTCATTGCCTGGGCTTTGGGATGAGGAGCCGTCTCCTAGCCCACGACCTATCGAAAACAGAATGTATTAAACATCGACAAAAATTAACGCAGGGTTGTAAATGCCTTTCCTGGTCTACAGGAATGCTAATTAAATAAACACCTGGTAGAGGCATGTTAGCGATAGAGTCAGGTTCAAGACCGTAACAACTTAAATATAAGCCTACGCTAGTTGCCAGAAACTACCCTCTGTTCATCCGCAGTCGCTGTCAGTGCCTTAATGATTTCAGCACTCCTTCTGTTTAGCCCCTCTACCTTCACCGCATATTCCACGTTTGGACTGCTAGACACCTGAAATCCTTGTGCCTAGTTGAAATGACCAAATTTACTGTTCGTTTGAACGAAATAATATTTTCACCAACTTTTGGCCTATTGGCGTGTGGGAGAATGGAGTGAATCTTGTTTTGCAGAGGGATTGCTTCCGGATCGATTATGTCTTTTCTGAATGTATTTCGTTCGGAAAACAAGATGACTTACCGGGTTTAATGATATAACTGTAGGCCATGCCAATGAGGGAGGAAATGAGATTACACGCGAGGATGTAGACGAGGGCGACCACGCTAACTTTGCCGTTTTCCTTAGGGTTCAGATCCGCCAGAACTTGAAAATGGCATAAATATACCCGTGATGATAACGATAATCAGAATCGATACGGTCCTGAAAGCGACAAAACTTCAAATCAAACTGAAAATTTCAAGTGTATAAATGCAGTTGTGTGTCCCAGTGTCTAAAACGACCTATGGTACTTACCGTTGATGACGTTGGCAGAAATCATCGGCAGGATTGTAAGTTGTAAAACGCGAATGTAAATGTTTCCAGGCATTGCTGAAAGAAATAGACGTGGTATGCCTTAGTGCAGGTTCTTTGTTGTAGACGTGCAAAAATCTAATTCATTTTATCAGTGATTCACTCCTAAGGCTTTCGCAAAAAATTCTAGAAAATGTTAGCACATTCGCTTTATCGCTCAACCGAATCTAAATTATGGCCTTCAATTCAAACGTTTATGCAAATAAACGGTAGCCTCTTTCTTTTTTACTCTATCTTAGTGGGTGCTCAGTTAAACTAAACGGTCCAAAATGTGCTCTGCCAAAGTAACGGATGCGCACATCGGCCGCATTACCAGGGTGTTGCATCTATCTAGGACCAGAGGAAAAAAGTTTTCGTACTGTTAAAATATTTCTGACTACGTAACTTCAACCTAAAAAGACGAGGGAGAAGCAGATGACTGGTTGCCATTTACTGTTTGGTATCAATTAAAAATATACAGAGAACCACTTCCAGAAGGATCTGAGAGTTAATTATTAGTCGAATGGTCGCTAAGAACTCCAAACTTATTTACCATCCTTAGCTAGGTGCATCACAGACTCCTCTCATTTTTTTCTTGCTTTGCTCGTAAAGAGATATGCTCATTTTAAAACGCGTCTTTTGAATCCTCTCTTCTTCTGTCTGTGTTTCTTACGTTATTTTAGTTTATATCCTTATACAATGACATTTCAAAACAATCAAGATGACGCCGTCCACCTCTTTACCCCGAATTAATTGTTGCGAGGTTTATCCGCTCTATGTAGCGTGTTCTCCGGCGTATATCTTACCATACATCATTCTGTTTTACGACTACTGGCACAATACCTTATGATTTATCGTAAACTCAGGACTAGGCGTGGACATGTATCCAAAGAACGAAAATTACCGTAAAAAATAAATTTGAAATAATGGAAACAAGACTCTCACAACTCAGTCTGCAAACGCGGTGAATTAGCAAACGAAAACTAGTTTCAAATGCATGCAAAATATTATGTTTTTTGTAGATATTCTTTGAGGAAGATGCTTCTTAGTTTACATATTTGAATCCAATGCTATAAAACAACGTTAAAAATGTTATGACCAGAGTAAAATATCCAGCTATACTCACAACCTCCTTGAGCAAATATGCTGATTAAAAGTATTCAAAGAAAATGTATTTTCGAGAAAAAAGGATAGCAAGGCGGCATGATTTGTTTAAAATGTATCTTTCGCGAATTCATAGGGACTGCTCCTGTTTATACTGACGCCGAGAAGGCGGAATACTCACCAAGCCACGTCTGTCCCACCTCGTCTAGTCCCACCTGCTGTATGCCGAATCCAGCACCAAAACCGATAACCACACCGATGATAGTAGTAATCATAAACCAGTTTTCAACGAAACAGTTTTTCTTCTTTGGAGGTGCTGTCACCTCCTCCTCCGACAGAATCGACGAGTTCTCGCTTTCGGACATGGCTCCTCTACTGTAATCGAAAAACAGCTGGCTACCAGAACCGCAGTATGTACGATTTCTCCTTCTCACCCAGCATTTATTATATTTCACGATGAGATCGCGAAGTACAACAGACCCACAGCTGGAGCCACTCAGAAGCCAGTTGGCATGCGTCTCGTTGTTAAGTTGATGTAGGCGTGAAGTTCGCACCCCACAGGGTCCCCAAAAGGTATTCGCTCAAAAAACCCACTTAAGTTAACTAGCTGGGGGACAAGCGAACTAATGTGGAGTGTGCGTGAACTGCGGGTTGCACATGCGAGCTGGGGTGTAATAGCATGCTTGATATCAAGTGACAAAGCATACAGGAATAATAAGACACACAGCTTTTTGATTTTTCTGGATCAGAATACACAGAAAATTGGCAAATGAGGTGAAAGAGAGCATCTGAAGTGAATTTAGGCATCAGAGGCGTGGCGTGAATAAGCGTTTATTTTCGAATTAACGGTCTCGGCGCGCGCCATCAAAAACATCTACAACTGAAAAACCCCTATACGGTGAGGTGACTCTAAAATGGGTGAATTTTTAGAAGTGCAGGACTAAAAATATGGAAATCGGTAGTTCTTTCTAGGTGTAGTAAGCCTTCCGCAAGTCTCTCGAGACTGCGTAGATGATGTAGACTGCACCCAGGTAGAGAACATAAATAGAATCAACTGTTGCTGAACGACACTCTGATGCACACTAACGCCCGGAAACACCATTTGCGAATTCACAAGATGAAGGAAAGAAAACAGCCACCGAACTGTTCATTACAATTCCAGAACCGACATTAATAATTATTTCCCGGTCATTTACTGATTTTAGAAATTACTAGATACGCACATGTAAGTAAGCTTTTACATGAGCCAGAATGCATGGATTCTATAAACAAAGATTGCTAAGAGGTTTTGAGCGGAAAGTCATCGCGATTTTCAATGAGTTTATATTTCACCTTTCATATTGACCCAACTGTGAAAAACTCGGCGCCTCGGTGGGATTCAAACCCACGCAGTAAAGGGAAGGCTGTAGCGCAGCCAACGCTCTAACCACCTGAGCTACGAGGCGCCGAGTTTTTCACAGTTGGGTCAATATGAATTATTAAAAATCTGCCAAAATATCCATGTATTTCACCTTTGTTGGAGTATAGTTCCAATTATGCAGCGTGCAATCACACATAAAGATTCCTGTCGGTTTTAAATAACTTCTGGCGCAGACCCTATGAGTACTCGCTCTATGTTGTATCCAAAACGGATGTTTCATAGGCAGAACCCCAGCTGTGTACTTCTCTTTAACAGCTGTCTGCCGTTTGAAGGTTTACGAGTCATTTCCATAAACGATTATCCCAGTCGGACCACCTCACGTAGTCTTCAAGAAAATCGCCAAGGATATGGAAAGCAGAAACACTTGGAAATCTTTGTCATGGGACAGCGTCGGACGAGTTCGTGCAGTGTTTAGCCACTAAGCTACTCCTGACGGAGGATGAGGGAGTATTAGTACATCGCATAACCGACAAGATTCCTCAAATAAGCTCGATCGCGAGTTCGGGAGGCGGGCGATCCGATACTTATCGGGGACGTGTTTTTAGATTACGAATTTTGTCATTTGCTGCTGTCATGCAGCTGCTTGCGTCGACCTGCCGATGAATTTACAAGCAGACATCGTGGTGAGGGAAGACACCTCTGCAAGCAGATCGATATCATTTGGGTCTCCATCTGTCCTTAAACACCATTGGTTGGTGGCGAAGTTAATCTGCCTTGGGAGGTCAAAAGGACTCGCCTATGTTGCTACCGCAGTGTGATGCTTGTGGGGGACTTCATAAAAATGTTCCTTAATACAACATTTTAGTTAGGCAAAAAGGATCTGTAGGTGCTACATTGCGCAGAAGGTAAAAGAAACTAATTGAAACAAATATACGTCCAGCGAAACATGAACGGTAAGAGTAGGCATCCTAGCTCACAAAAATTTTGTATATTAGCTTGCATATCCCCGTTATGTGCTTTCTCCGACACAAGCAGAGTATTTAACAACGTTTATGATTCTAGGTATAAGCTGATAATAATGTTTTAACGAAAAAAGTTATTTTTTGAGTCAGATTTTTAAAAAGATGGTTCAGAGTTCCTTAGGTGAATAGGCAGTAGCAGAGAATGTTTAAAACAATGTAATTCTGGGTCCGCCATTAAAATGATATCATTCTCTTGAAGTTACAGACCTACATCAAAGTCGCTTTGTAGGCACTCACAGTTCACGGGAATTGTCATACAGCTAAGATGCTTACAATAACTAAGTCCCACTTGCAATAGAAATGTCCACTTACCTAGCCACACCTTCCCCGTCTCATTCAGTCCCAGCCGTTGTATACCCAGACCAGCTCCAAAGCCGATAATGACACCAATGATTGTAGTTATCATGAACCAGTTCTCCACAAACCAGTTCTTTTTCTTATTCTTAGTGGCAGCTACGTCCGAATAGTTGCTTGCACGGTCATCCCGATTCACGACGCTGTTAACTTCCGACATTTTCTTTGGCATGTCCACTTCGGTTCCTACCTTTGCCTATATAGAATCCCCGGCCTTATTTCGACTGAAACCCCATTGGACTCCATGGAAAGGACCAATTAATGAAGCTGTTTTTTGCTGAGCTGAGGGTCTGCTCGCACTAGTGTCTTCCCTCATCACGATGTCTGCTTGTAAATGCAACTGTAGGTCGACGTAAGCAGATGCATGACATTTTTTTTACCCAACTCGTTTTACTACCTGCCTATCATAAGTTTTCGTGGGCTTTGAAAACTGGAGCTTTGTTCACGCTGGGTAACGCAATCGTGACATGCACCTCTCACTGTCGAGCCAACACCGGTTGATAACAAAACGGATGCGTTGATCACGATGCTCCCGTCTCCGTGATTGTTTTTATCTTTCACGTAAGATTGTGCCCTGAGGAGGAGGATAGTGTTGTAAAAGGCCAATAAAAATCTCTCGGGGTTGTATAAGGAGAGGCAATTATACATTGGCACCCAGGTCTTGTCGCGTGACTTGTCACTTCAAAAACAGCATGTGTTACCCCTGTGATCAATATTCTCTGCGCTAAACTCCCACGAGGAGAATAAGTCTTTGCCCTTTTAAAGGCTGTAAATCATTGGGGTAAGAGGCGGTTCTGTCTGGATAGGACACGGCTATAGGAACACGCGCTTACTTCAGATGACCTAGCGCTAAGTTCCAAAGAGATTAGGGTTAGGGTTGAGGTTGGAAGTGGTAGTAGAGTTAAGATTAAGACACACAGAATAGGGTCCCTTTATGTAGTTTAGCGCAGGGCCGCCTGCGTTAAGTAGGAGTCCTATTCCCGTGTCGCACTCCATTCCGTTTTAAAATTGCTTAAGATGCATTACGAAAAGTCTTAATTGTGCGGCCTTTATGTCGGTCATCTCCGATGAGAGATGCTAGGTCTTCTTAGTTAGGGACATGGTTGTGCGTATCACGTGCTGATGGGCTGTTTGACTCTCGTAGCCAGTGCATACGCGCCCATCGCCGATCGTCTTGTCATCGGAGACCCCAGGGAGTGAGGAGAGTGAAGTGAGGTAGACACATCGAAAGTTGCCCCACTGTAAACAAATCTATTCCCAGGTCACTGCCGGGACCTATTCGGAGACAGTGGTGGACTCCGTCGCTTGTAGCGATCGGATTTCCAGTTTAGATTTTTCGAAACGTCCAGTATATTTCAATATCTTCGGGGCAGTTGATAGTTCCTTCGAGAACTACGCTTTTTGGCAGATGGCAACGGAACAGTTGTGTAAACAAAGCTTAATAAATTCGCTGTAAATATGTAACTATGATTATTTAAGTAATACGTTATCGGATGAATAATAACAGACGAAATATTGCTACTTAACCTTCTACTAGGAATGATGACTCAGAAATGGGGGTGTGTGCTAGAATGACTAACAAATGTGCCGGAATATACCTGTCTATCAAAACAGTATTTGTCTTTCCCAGGAAACAACCGTCCGACTGCTGTCTATAGGTTTCTTTTTCCACGACGACACGACGTATTTAGGTAACCCACTCCAGACGTTAACGAACCGCCGTCGCTAACGGTACCGACGCAGATCGAAGCGCTTGAGGGCTCTCCAACGGATGAAGCGGTTTTCATTCAGGTTGGCACATTTAGAAAATAGGGAAAATTGCTCTCATTGGAGGGCATAGTCATGTCTCCTCAATATCCTAATAAACTTGCAGCCTAAAGTAGGCAGACTGGACTTTGAGAAAGAAGACTTGAGATTGTCTATGCACACTACTGTCCTCCCCTGAGCTCCTTCTAAGAATCGACGGTCTTTGTCAGCCGCATTCAGCAAACCCGTATCTCATAATCTGGATACAGAGGGAAAATTATCCAGTAAAATTTTACGGACCGTCTACAAACGCAATGGTTTTCCCTCGCCAATGTCATGCATTTTCTTTTTTAGTCAACGTGCTGGGGGGATGGCTTAGTAGATTGCATAATCGTCTGGTTCGGTAACATTCGCAAGAGATCTTCAGTCAACAGCGTGTTGCGACGATCAGTTTCCTCTCTCAAAGGGGCCACGCAATAGATGCGTTGGGCCAAGACAGGAGTTAGATGAGAGTCCTGCATGCGTTTGTGCCAATGCACACTCAGAACAAATGCCCACTTTAAAGGTGCTGTGGCAGGCACAGTTGCTGGCTCACGCATCGCCATTTACGATCCGTGACGGCCCCACTCCTATTATTTTTTTGTTGTCTAAAATCATAGTCAGTTGTTTGTTGTGGACCAGAGGGCGTGGTGGCACGTCTAGGTGCGGGTTTTCGCCCTGCCAGCCATCTGCGGCCTCTCCCACCTCCTGTCTTTTCGACTCGGTAATGACACCGGGCTCAGGTAGGGGGGGGGGGTGTGGTAGATGCGGCGCAAGTCTACCATCGCTATAAACTAGTTCATGTGTAGGTCACCGTTTCTGCCCTCGCCCAACTGTGAAGCACATAATAAACACTGTCGGCATCGACGGTTGAACCCTCGTGAGGGTCAGTACAGGCGCCTGTTTTTTTCGGTTTTTAACTTGCCCTGGACACTGCCCAAAATCATCTACCGGCCCTTCGCCAAGGCCATTAAGAATTCTCCCAAAGATACAGTCATTATGCATAAATTTGATTTTTTAGAATATTTTGACGCCGCCTGCGAACACATCTTGTCTGTAGTTTAACAAAATCAAAGATTCAAATAGTCTGAGGTGCAAATAAGTGATTATATCCAGTATAACGTACATGAAAATATGGCAACATGACTAGCACCAATGTACTTTCCTCTCGACGTAAGTTCCAAAGGATGTGCTTACGGGGACTCGGCGTTTTCTATTCCGCTTCAAGAAAGACTAATACACTTGTTTTCCGTCAAATAGTGCGTCATTGGCCACCTTCGGGCCTGTCAGTACTGAGAGACACGCATCAATATTGCCTTGAAAGACGGAAGCTCGTGTGCTTTGGGAATGTCAGGAGAATAAACCCTTAGCTCCTTATCTCGTCCCTTCTTCTCGAATGTGAATCCAATGGAATAACTCAAACGCATCTCAAGTTGCTCTTCACTTAATAGAAGTTGCTATTTTAGCACCCTTTAATAATCGTCATCAATAAATTTTAAAAACATGGCTGGAATCCCGGGACAGTCTAGCGAGGAAGATAGCACTTTAACCACTGTGTGAAAGGGGCAACAGCTAAGTAATTTAACAGAACTCTGCACCGAACCGCGGAAAATTTGCGTCCAGACAAGTCCGTGGAGGGAGCCCGCCGATTTAAGTAAGTTTCTAGCCGAAAATTGTGCAGGAAGTATTGAAGTTGAATCTTAATGGACAAGTGCATACTACTAACTGTCCGCCGCCTCTAGATAAAACCCCGAAGGGCTCGTTCAAAGGACCTTTCTGCAAATGCAAACAATAATTTCTGAGGAATTTGAAAAATCCAGCACTGAAAAGTGAGGGCATATATGCCAGAAAGCACAAGAGAAAGACCAAGGGGACTAGGGGTGAGGTGGACGCCTCGCTGCTGCGTAATGTGGCTGGACGACATAGACAGAAGACGTGCCTTGGCTATTAAGTGAGATATTTGTTGGGAATCAATGAATCAAACCTGAAATGCCTGACTTAGTAAGTAAACTACTAAAATTGTTTCCTCTAGTCTCGATTAAGCCACTTGTATGACAGTTCGGCCGTCTCTACCGACGATTCTCACCGTGCGCTCCGCAACTTGGTTGACACAAGGACGGTGACTTGCGCGTGAATATGTTAACAGTGATATTAGACCTGCACTGCATCTACAGCACTCTCTCTTCCGTCACCCTCTTTGGCCCGGTGTCAAGAGAAAGTCAATAAGATCGAAGGAGGGATCAGGCGCAGGTGGCTGACACGGCGTGAGCCTGCGTCTAGGCGTACCACCACACTCCCCACGTTTATGCGTGGGCAGCCCAACAACGCGTCCCAGACCCTGGTCTGGATCTTGTGGTGATCCAGCGCAACTCCCGAGTGGCCTGTTTAGGGGGGTATTTAACTCACCTAGTAGTATGTGCTCCAATATCCATACTACGAGTGCCGAAGGATGAGTGAAGATTAAGCCAGCACTTAAAAGTGATTAGGCCGAGTACACAAGATTATCCATCTCTGCTTTTACTTGTTGATAAGAGCAACTGCTGGCTTTTTATTTTAGTGTATTTGAAACACTCAGTGGCGAAACCCTTTAAGATAGTCAGTACCATTCTAAAAGTCAAAGTGTGATTCGCATAAAGCCGACCACAGGCCGAATGCATATTTGGGTGTTTCATTCCTGCATTGAGATTGACACTTGCCTGCTCGTGACCTTTGAGCGCCTAATCGAAATTGGCGTTCTTCGTGGAGTCAGACAATCCAAAATACCTTTAGTATATCTGAGTAAACTGGTTAAGACGGAGACCACGGTGGATATATAGTCGATGGTTCTGTCGACCAGCTAGTCACGCATCTTTTCTGGAATATCTCCGATTACAGTCGGTGGCCAGCTGAATGCGTGAATAGGCCAAACTGTTCCAGTAAGCCCTTTGTCTTCTCCAACTTATTGCCCTCGACCTTTCAATTTTTCCAACCAAATTTAAACTGCATCACTTTCTGTAGCTTCCAAACTTCTTACTTCAAACACATTTAGGACCAACTGGGCCCTTTTGTAATCCAATGGGTGTTCGCGTGTTTGTGATCACTACAATATCGTGGAAGATGAAATAGGCTGGAGTTTTTGGTCAGCGGCGCTTGATACTAGCAAGCTACTTTTTTACACTTGGCTAGTTTCGTAGATATCTGCTCCAGTCTTCGCTGCTCTTTCGAAGATGGTTAATTAAGCACAACGTCGTCTCAGGCCTTCGGCTTGATTCGTAGCTCCTTGAGGGAAGTCCGTCGGCTGTTCTTGTAGCGTCGCCTTCACCCTCCTTGTTGGCGAGAATCTGTAACGACACAGCAGTGGAAGGATCGCTTGGGTAGGCGTTCGTCGTCTATCCACGCAAAGTGGTTGCTCTAAAACAATTAGAGTTACCTCATCATGGCGTAGAGATCGAGGATTCCGCTTCCGTTCCAGGAATTTAGTGTCTGGGAGCCTGTCTTGTCACCTAACTTTCAGTAGTCCTCGGAGGCAGCTGAAGCGGAAACGACCCAGATTCCTAGCTTGGTCGACGAAGACTGTCCATGTCTTTGTCCTAAAGAGTGGCGTCGTCAGGACTACCGCCCTGCATATCTAGGTTCTTGGTTGGAATGAAGAAGTATATGACATAGCTATTTATCAATTATCTGCGCCGGGGTTTAAAGTCCAGGTGCATCAAGTCCGGGACTAAGATATGACTGGCTGGTCGAATAACGGTGGAAAGAGAGTTCGAACTGAGCGGTCTACTTTTATATTTTTCGGTAGCTTTTCCCGAAACTCCGAGGGTTCCGCTCCGCAATAACAGCTTAAAACACTCTCAGAGTCTGAACCGTCCAGGAACTCCGATATGTATGTCGTTCTTTGTACGCTCCCCCACTGCTACGTCCGGTAGTTGGAAGGATGGTTCCACCGGGAATCTCTCTTGCGTACGAAAGACAGGCAGAAAGGTCAATGCTCTAATTGAGGTATGGTGAGTCGAGAAAGAACATATTGCAAAATCGAAAGTCGGCACGATTGAGATAGTTGGATAATTTTTACTGTGGACGGGGAAATGCACAAGCTACACAGAGGGTGGCGGCAGCGGCGGCGGTGGCAGCTGCCCCGACCAGCCGCGAGCCGGACGTTGATGTTGCTAGCTCTGGAGCCACGTGCGTACGTGCGCCTGATCCTCAGCGCCGGCAACCAATCCGTATAGCCTTCAACGCCGATTGGTGGCATGTTGTATAGACCGCCACGATAGCCCTCCGGCTAGAGCAAGGGCGGCATGGAAAAGCACCAAAGGCATCGTCCATGTCTACATAAACCGAGTAACTATGCTATCAGAGGAGTCAACAGCTGTTTTGTGATCGTCATTCTAACATTATTATCGGAAACAGAAATCTGAAAAACTGTGCTGAGTTAATTATTGACTTGATTAGCCAGCCTGTCTAAGACCTGCAACGTCCTAGGTGGTAGACGAATGCGCACTTGGAGTTTGCTTTTTATCCAGCCGGTGCGGCTGGCTTAAGGAGTGTGCAAACGCTTAATAGAAGCAAAGATGATATTGTCATTAAGTATAGCAAACTAGGTAACGATAGGTTGTAGGACCCACAAATAGATGGCAAATGCAAATATATACCCTAGAATTCAGTGTGACTGTAAAATCACTTATTATGCACCGCTCACATTGTTTTAAATTTCCTCCTCTTCCTGACTACATGTAAAATTCTCAGATGCGCTTTATTCAAAGTCCGTTATTCTTTAAAAATTGTTTTTTGGTTATTTTTTTAATCACTACGCTTACTTTTTTTCCAAATGACAGCGTACGATAAGAGTTTCGGCAGAAATTTATCTATTTTCTGTATATTCTTGCTTTCCGTCCTGTGTGTTGCCTCACCCGTGAGACCCCCTCTACGATCATTCAACGTATGACACAGTCTACAGGCTAGCTCAAGTTAGTGTTTGGGTCCTACACCCTATAGTTGAAAGGCTTTTGCCGACAAGGTTACGGCATAAGCTCGCTCTGTTACATCTTGCGGTTCAATCTAGAGCCGCGCAGGAGTTCGAATAACGACGAGTACTGTCACAGGAAGGAATACAAACGAAGGCAAGGGCGATTAGGGATGAGGTTCCTGGCTGAATGATACTGATATTCAATGAATGTTTTGCATGCAGTAAAATTTGAATTTTGAAACTCTAAAAATTGCTTTGATAACGATTCACTAACAAGAGGAGCCTTCTTTCATGCTCATGGCGCCCAAGAAAGTGGCAAATAGACTCCAATGAACCACAGGTCTGTGTGATGCTAATTAAAATTCATGCGGAGAAGGAGTACTTTGGCAAAAGCCAGTTAGGCACCAGCCCCTGTCTCACAATTACCATAAATTTCCAATTCACATTATTCATTGCCCTCGCGAAGAGTTTGGCCTTCTGTTCAGAGTTCCGATCTTCCTTATGCGTGATACTTAATCAGCTGCTGAAGCCGCTTGATCACTTGGAGTCAGTTTCGCAGTATTGCAGGAAGTTTTGTGCGACAATCATGGGCATATGCGTAGGCCCCCTCGAAAAAGGCAGCATCTTAGACCATTTCGGTTCGGCCCATCCAGGCATCTACCTCTGGAGGGATACACTGGCTTCTAATAACAAAAGCGTCGTACGGTAGAATTCATTTGACATAAAAATTGGGAAATAAATTGGGATTAAATAGCATAAGCGAGAAGGAAAGCTGCGAAAACCCAGTGGAAGAACATCCAGTGTCAACGCGCGAGTTCGGTAGTATCAAATCGTTTCAAAACTGACGCATTCCGAGTGTGTGTGTGTGTTCGCCCTCCGGGGTGTAGGGGTGTCCAGCGGTGGGTTCACGTGATGATCGTAGTGGTCGCTCACTTGCCTGCAGGTGAGACTACGCCTAGCGTCCATTTGCTGGAACCGAACTCCCACCTGTGGCTCCACGTAGCTGAGCTTTGCTCAGCGGCCACATCCCGGGCAATCGCCTCGACCGGCGGGCTAAATTAAGTGAGGACGGTTACTCCCGCTGCGCGTTGTGCCACGTGCACAGGGTACTGCGAACTCCGCTGGACGGTTTGTCGGATGGAACATCGCGCCAGCACCGTCGTGACGAGGCTCCATCCGGTACGCCGCTGGTCAGCCGGTTAGTGGAACGTCGCATGAGTATCGTCTAGACGAGGCTCCGCCTGGTACGTCGTTGGTCAACCGGTGGAATGGATCTTCGAATCGGCATCGCCGACACGAGCCCATCTAGTGGACCGTAGGAGACCGCGAGC